GGGAATGGGGGGGGGGGATGATGAAGTTTGTGGGAGATGCTGTGTTTTGGGGGATGCTGGACTTTGGGGGTGATGCTTTTTAGGGGGTCGATGCTGGGATTTGGGAGGTAAATCCTGGCTTCAGGGGTGATGGGATGCACTTTTGGGATCAATGTGCTTTGGAGGGGAATGACGCACTTTTGGGGTTTGTGCTGTGTTTTGGGGGATGCTTGACTTTGGGGTGATGCTTTTGGGGGGTGATGCTGGGATTTGGGGGGTAAGTCGTGAGGTTTTGAGGTGATGGGATGCCCTTTTTTGGGGTGGTGATGGGTTTGGGGGGGATGCTTTTTAGGGGAGTGATGCTGGGATTTAGGATGTAAATCCTGGGTTTGGGGGTGATGGGATGCACTTTTGGGATCGATGTGCTTTGAGGGGGGAATTATGGCCTTTTAGGGGGGGTAAATCCTATGTTTTGGGGTGATGGGATGCACTTTTTAGGGGGGTCCTGCACTTGTAGGGTGATGCCGTGATTTTGGGGGGTAAATCCTGTGTTTTGGGGTGACATGATGCACTTTTTTGGGGGGTGATGTCTTTTGGGAGGGGATGCTGGACTTCCTGGGGGATTATGCACTTCAGGGGGAGTGACGTTTTGATTTGGGAAAGGGGTCAGCCCCGTGTTTTGGGGGCGACCTGATGCATTTTAAGGGGGGAACGATACAGTTTTTGGGGGGATGCTGCAGTTTTAGGGGGGTCGCTGGACCTCGGGGGGGTGATGCCGTGATTTGGGGGGGGGTTAACCCCTGTGTTTTGGGGCGGAGCCGCTGCCCTGAGTGTGCGATGCTGCGTTTTGGGGGCGATGCCGCGCTCCGGGGGGGGCTCAGCCAGAGGGGGATTTTTTGGGAGGGTGGGGGGGTTATTCCCGCTCCTTTTCCCGGCAGCTGCGGGATGTTCCCGAGGACGATCGGGCGCGGGGGCAGCTGGAGAGCGGGATCCTCCACGCGCTGCTCCTCTGCGAGGGCTTCTTCGACCCGCACCAGACCTGGCGGCGGCAGCTCCGCGGGTGAGCCCGGCCCTAAATCCCGCCTCCATCCCAAAATCCCACCCGCCTCCTTCCCCCGAATCCCGTATTCCCGCCGCTTCATCCCTCTGTCTCCTTCCAGGGAATTCATCAGCTCCAAGGAGAAGAGTAAATACAAGTTTGCCCCC